TGGGGCAAAGCCCTTGCCTGGGGCTGCCCTCCCAGCAGGGTTACCTTGGGCCGCACGTGACGGAGGAGACCGCCATCCTCTGTCCGCTGCAGGTAGTCTATCCAGCGCTCTCCAATGGTGTAATAGAAGTACACGTTGCTGCCATCCTCCCCTTCCTCGCTGTAGCAGCTCCCCTCTTCCTCTTCTTCCTCTTCCTCCTCCTCCTGCTCCCCGCAGACTGTGGAGCTGACTGGCTCCTGTGCCCCCCGCCCACTGGAGCCATCAGCCTCCGGTCCTGACCCTGGGCTCCCTTTCCCAGAGCGCTCCGGCTCCCAGGTTTCCGAAACATCCTCCTCCTCAGCCACCACCTATAATACAGGGAGAGGCAGGGTCAGGTCTGTTTGCTGCAGCTCTGCACCCCAGCTCTCAGAGTGCCCTGGGGCCCGGGCTGGGGGACACGCTGGGGAGCTGGGGGGGCTGCCAGTCAGAGCGATGGCCCGAGGAATACAAGGGCTTCCCTCTGCAGTACGAAAGAGGGGCTGGTGAGCTAAGCAGAGCCAAAGACGGGAAGAGGGAGCAGACTACTGAGCTAAGGTGCTCTCTGGAGTCACGGGGCAGCTTAGGCCAAGCCCGATCTGGAGACAGGTCACCTCCCAGCCCCACAGGGAAGCACAGCTGCAACGCGACCAAATAACGTGGCGGCCGGCAACTCTGTGACTGAGCAGAAAACACAAACACTGCAGGAGCATCAGGAACAATACCAAACCCGCTAGCACCAGCTCCACCTCTGCACAGCGAGCCATCTCCCCTGCAGCTGGGAACAGCCCTCTGCCCTTCGTTTGCCAAAGCAGGGAGCAGAGCCGCTGCACGTGTGGGCTGCCGTGCCCGGGCAGGACCCCAGCATCAGAAAGGAGGGGCACGCTGCATTGCAGCCTTCAGCACGGTGCGGCGGTCCCTTCGCCCTCCAGCCAATCTGACCAGGAGCAACGATTATTCGAGAGGTTGCGAGTAGTGTGTGTCCGTCTAACGCCACCTGCACCCTTCCTCCCCCTGGAAAGCAGCACTGTGAATAACACCGCAAAAAAAAAAAAAAAAAAAAAAAAAAGCAGAAGCATTCAGCAATCACTTGGAGGAAACAGAACAACGCCCCTGTATCACATGGGAATGAGGAACTGTTTTCCAATACACCAATAGAACACCTCAACCAGCTGCCCAGGATAACTTGCACCTAAGAGTCCTAGAGAGCAGTACAGGAGATCACTGGCCCACAGCAGTTATTTTTGGTAAATCTTGGAATACAGGAGAAACTGCAAAGACCAGGAGAGTGTGAAAGTTGTGCCAAAACTGAGGAAGGCAAGAGAAAAACGAGTCTTTACACAGCCTGACATCTGGTAATAGAGAGGCTGGTGCAGGATTCAGCGAGTAAAAGATAAGTGACAGGGACATGTTTTGTACCAGCTGATGAGACTTTATGAAAATAGGTCTTTTCAAATAAAGTCGAGTTTATTCCTTGAAGTGTTACATTTGGTTAAAGAAAGCAATTACATAAATCACATCGATGAGACGTACTCATACACTTCCAAGCGTTTAACCAGGGCACAGGCTTCTGATGAAAACACTGGCATGCCACAGCCTCTAAAGGGTTGTTGAATGAGATGGCTTAGATCAAGAAAGAGCCAGTGAACAGATCTCAAAATGTACCTGCTAATGGGAAACTGCAGATTTTCTGCTGACGGGCCTAGTGCAGACCCATAAGGGGGTGTGTGGAAAACCACAGTAGTCAGTATTTGTTTTATTCATAATATGGAAGTAGATAAAATCTTTTCTGATTACGTTTCAAGACTGACACTTGGGTAGGTAGCAAGGACACTTAGAAATTAGGCCTCAGTGCACATGCGCTTAAGCCTGCACAGATTCCCCAGATCAGAGGCAGGTCACTTCTTCACGCCACCCAGTTAGACTGGACCCTGTTTGGCAGGTGGGCTTGGAACGGGGTTGGACTCTCGGTCGGAGAGGCAGTGGCCAGATGAGAAGGCACGACACACCTCTGGACACACCTCTTCAGGAGGGAGCACTGAACCCAGGGCTCTCAAGCACTTCCTCTAGCATCTAGAACTGGGGGTCACATCTAGGTCCTGGATGATAACAAACCTCGGGACGATGCTCCTGGGGCAGCACGGGGGCAGAACAGCGGCTGACATCTGGCAGTAAAACACCTTCCAACAACCATCCTCCCCTGCCCGCACAGCACGCTCGAGAGCTTGGCGAGTGAATTTCCTCAGCCCCACAGACAGCACCACAGGAAGACGCACTCCTGAAGAAGTCCCCAGCGCCGAGCTGGGTGCATGCCAGCCCAAGCGGGCAGCGCACTGGCGCACTGGCCGCCGCTCTCTGCAGCCAAGGAGGACAACAGGGTAGAGAGCTTGGCAAGAGACATGGACTCCGGCCTCCTCAGCTGTCGGTCCAGGGAAAGAATCTCTCTCCACACCCAGTTCTGGCCTCCAGCGACGAACAATTAGTGGAACTTAACAACTATCTGCAGGAGACCTACAGATGGCTAGCTGCTCTGGGGCAGGGGAGGCAGCAGGAAGCCATGAGTGTCCTCTGGAGTCAGAGCATTGTTTCTATGCTGGGGCAGACACCACAGTGGCCAGAGCAGCTCCTGGCAAGGCTCAGGCGGTCACTGCAGCCTCCAGCAGGACACCACAAAGCCAGCTCGGCCCGGAGTATCTCAGCCTCTCCGTCAGGATGCTCCCCGAAGCAAGCTGCCACCTTACAGGGAGGCTGCGGACAGTTTGAAAGGGCGCAGCATTCCTTGGGCATCCCTGTTCCAGTGCCCAAAGCAGATATGTCTCCTCTCCCGTAAACTTCCTCCGTCCCTGTACCAGCTACCACCTCTCCCAGCACGAGACCCCCCTCCCTAATTCCTGCACTGCTGGAGGGAGGATCACCTCCGTACCAGGTAGGCAGGGGAACCCCACCTTTCTTTTCCTACCTGAGGCACAGGAGCTTTACTGTCCCCCTGCAGACCAGGGCTCACCCTCGCAGCTTCCTCACTGCTTGGCCTCCTCCTGCAAGTCATCCGCTGACTGTTCAGCTCCAAGATGCGAGTGGTGATGCCTTTGACATGGAGAAGATCATCGAGTGAGTTGAAGCCCTTCAGTTCCTGTGAGAAGAGAAGCAAGATTTGATATGGAGCTGAGAAACCCAGGGACCAGCCCCAAAGCAGGACCAGGCTTACTCACACCCTCCTCAGACAGGCTCTCCTTCCTGGCCGGTCCAGACCTACCAGCTTGCATCTCACTTACAACCACCAGCTCCCTTCAGGCCTTCAGGGGAAAGAGGGTCGGGGGACACCTTTGTACTGCAAGTCCTTGCTCCCATCCAAGGTAAGGGATGTCTTCTGCCCAAAACAGCCACTCCCATGTAATTCCTCCTGTTTCCACAAACTTTCCCTGCCCTGAGCAATAACTGCAATGCCTGCAAGGAACAGGCAACAGCACCAGAGCTGCTACTCACAAGGGGAGCAGCGGCCCAAAAGCAAAGGCTAAAAGCTGAGAAAGAGGAATCGTGCCTTCCAGCTGACTAGTACCAGGACCGGGAGCATTCCCTGGCCCACACAGTCAATCTCCCTTGCCTGCAGCTCCAGGGAATGGAAACAGCCCCTGCCTCCTGCCCGGCACACGCAGACACACACACGTGTGTGTGCAAGGCACCCACCATCCTGCAAAACACCCAGGTCAAGGACTGCCCAGCCCTGCGCTCAGAGCCACGGGTTACCACCCATCGTACCTACACACCGTACGGACTCCAAGCACCTTCTGCCACAAGCCTAAAGGGCCTAAACCCAAGAGGGAGGGCCTGGCTGTTACCAAGGGGGCAGGATCCTACGGTGGAAAACATCCACCCTTTCTGGCTAACAGAGATGTCAGGGCCAAGACAAGGTTCCGATCATCCTTTCAAATTCATCATGCATCATTTTGAGGCACTTCTGCTGCTTCTCCCCTATAAATGGTTTTACCCAAAAGTGCAGCTCTAGTGATAAACCCCATTTCTGTAAATCCATCCTCACCTGTTCTCATACCAGCAGTCCCTTTGTTTAAATGGCTCTTGCTCTTCCGCCTCCACGGTGTTTACATTCTGGGGCCCCTGCCCCTCTCAGCCTCCTCTTTTCCAGGCCAAAAAAAGTCAAGCTCTTCTAGTCTTGCCTTGTCAAGCCAGCCTCCCCTTTCCCTGATTTCTCCTGCCTCACTCCTCTGCCTGCTTCAACACAGATGCCGTATTCCAGCCATGATCTCACCACTTTTTCATGGCATTAATGGCAAAAAGGTGGCATTAATCTTCCTGCCTCTGCTAAAAGCGCCACAGCAGATACAGCCTAAGATCACGCTTACCTTTCTCATGGCTGTGTCACACTGGTAGCTCAGTCATACTGAGAGTGACTACCACACGCAGGCTTTTCTCCTACTCTGTCATTTCCAAATGACAGAGCTAAAGAGTCAATCAAGGGGGAGCAGCAGGATTTCCAGCCCATCGTGACCACACCAGACGGGCTTCTGCCCCTTCCTGCTCCTGCCCGTTCCACCCAGGAACTCATTTTTTTCTGCTCTCAGCACGCGACGTCATCTGCCACCAGCCCCTGGGGCTCTGCCCCGAATCCCAGAAACAAGGAAACTGCAGAACTGGGCTGCGCTGCCTGCAGAAGCGCAGAGCTCTCCCCAGGGAGAACGCTGACCCAGCCTGCGCCGGGAGGCACCGTGCCG